GCTGCTCCAACTTGAATCTCAACTCAAATCTCTATCGACGTCTTTTCTTCTTAGGCGAAAGCAGGACGGGTTTCTGAGATGTGTTTGCTTCTGGGGATGGATCTTCATTCTCTGTTGCAATGTTGTAGAGTTGATCAGTATCACTGTCTATCTCATGAGGAGTGGTTCTACTCTGATTTGCTCTGAACTGCAGAAGGGTCACGTTGTAGAAGTAGCTCACAATCTTTCCTCTGCTCTTTGAAGTTAGTATCCTCTTGATCTGATCGAAGAAAGATGGGCTTAGTGTAGGTGGAGAAGTCATCAAAGACTTCACCTTCTTCAGTTCTAAGTCTGTCCAATACTGCAGAACACCTTCACCCATAATATCGAAACACCACATGTAGAAAGCTGGACCAAGTTCAAGTTTCAGTTTCTCTTGTTTTGTAGCGATATGAAATCTAACACATTCAACAGAACCTGGATTTTGGCAGCCACAAGGATCTTGTCGTCCTTTTCCAATAGGATCTCTTTCAATAAGAAGATTTTTCTTGTTTTGTTCATTGCTCAGTGGCCAGATTCGAGTGCCCAACCACTTTGTATCGCTTTCAGAGTTTATGTCAGTCCACTCGGGTACTTCAGCTTGAAACTCTGACCCAATCAGAGGACACGGTCTATCCTCCTCATCTGAACTGTCTGAACCTGAGCCATTCCCAGAAGATGTCTTGCCTTTCCCAGGTTTCTTCTCATTACTCTGACTAGCATCAAAACTCAGTCTCTCTCTTAGATTGTAACTAGGTCCACCACTATCATCATACAAGGATGGGTGCATCCTCTGGAGTTTCTGAAACACATAAGCAAATTATCAAGACTTGAATGGCATAAACATGGAAGAACAGCGGTGAAATCAGACAAACCATGCCCATCAGACTAAATAGAGAATGTTCTCTAGCAATAATACATCCCTGGTGCTAAAGCATCCTCACATTGTGCGGTATAAGGAAACTGACATTATCAAGAATCAAATTTCTTATGATAAAAGCTGATGCAGCATTTCCTAAGATGCGACTATTAATTCCTTAAATGCTCTAAGAGTCAAGCAGTTCATGATTTTCCAGGCGGAAAAAAATCACATCTTCACGGTTAAAATCAATAACGAATTTCAAATAACTATAGCAGGAAAGTTGATGCATCTAAATCCTATGGGCTTTTTTAGTAATGGCAAATGCGAAATAACTATACCTATATAACCCACCTGCCAGATCTTTTCAGTAGCTGAATCAGTTTTTATTCTCGAGGCCCTAAACAGAAGAAGTTGTCTCCATGGCTCTTCACTTCCATAGGATTCCCACTTTGATCTATCCGGCAAAGAACCAATAGATGTGTCAAATGGATCCTTAGCAACATTGCTTAACCATTTCAATGTCTCTAAAGGACATTCCCGTTTTCTCTTTCCAGGCGAAGACACCGAAGAGCAATCCTGGTAACCCGAATCAACGATCAACAGTTTCTTATCAATCATTTTCGATCCCTGAATCGCTTTCACAGCATCAGTAGACATAGACTCTTTACCAATCTGATACTTATCATATCTTCTCTTCATCTTTGTTATAAACCATTTAAGCTCTGCTCCTAACTCCTCCTTTGAAGCTTTACCTTTCCTAAGCTCATATTTCCTTTTCACTTCAGATAGAAAATCTTTAAGCCTATCCTTCAAATCATCAGAGATTCCAGACAACTCCACACTAGTACCATCGTTATCACCTGCAATAACTCTGTTCAACCATCTAGCAAGTGCATCAAGATACTTAACATAGATCAATTTCGCAGATGCTGAGTTATTAAACCCTAATCCAGACTCTTGCGCAACTTCATCCCAAGACCCATTCTCAGAAACAGCATCGAAACCTCCTCTATGACTAACGTTGAGAAAAAGGTTGAACAAATAAACAGGTCTACCGTCCCCGGTCATCGGAGGAAGAGGTCGGAAACTTTCCGATGAACAAAACTCGTCGAGGAATGATTCGAGTAAGGATCTGAACAAAGAGACGAGTTCCTTAATCTTCTTTTCAAACCCAGAACCTTTAGAATCTGGGTAGTTTACGCCTTCTGGAGACTTATTCGATTCGAGATTCTTCGGAGTTTTGTAGAAATCGACGGCTTCTTCTTCGTCTGCTACCATCGACCATCCAGCCATCGTCGACGACGAACAACGAACCCTACAACCATTTATAGAACCCATTTAGGTGTCTCTTAAACACACAAAGCAAAACAGAAATCGGAAAACCTAGGAAACGTCGACGAAGACGAGAACGAGAAGGAACAAAAAAAAAGACCCCAAATCTAAGAACTTACGATTCACGACCCTTGAGATTCCATGGCGTTTTTTAGCGGGAAAACAATGAAAAATTGAAAAAATTTAGGGCAATTTTTGCCCTTTCGCAAAACCCCATTTCCTTAGACCCGCCATTTTTCTCTCTCTTTTTCGAGGTTTGGGGTTTTTTTTTTTTTTGATTCGATGGATGGTGACCGAAGAAGAAGTTTAAGGTCAAAAATCAAACTTTTACACAGATACGGACCCTTATTCCTCAAAAATCAAAAACTAGTTTTTTCTAACCAAATTAAGGTTACTAAAATTGAAAACAATGCGGAAGAAAAAAACGAAAAGAAATTAAAAATCGAAGGGATCAAGAATATAATATTGCGAAATCGCTAACCTTTCTCTATTAGTAGTTGTTTTGTTGCTTTCTGTATTTTTTGCAGGTATTAAGAGAAATGATTTTTATTGAAGGAAGCACGACTGTTTCTGTTTGTATATAAAGACACCTTGGAAAATGAGAGAGACCCATACCATTATATATTAGCTGTCATATATGACGTATTAACTCTAGTTAATCATTAACCCAAAGGTTAAGTTTAAAACATGCAAACACTAACAAACCAAAAAAGCATTTCTATTGGCTCTAATTAAATCAATTCCCTACATAAAATATAATACTATTATAAAAACTGTCACAGAAA